GAATAGGAAACTTAAAATATAATTTCGTACTTAAAATCTTAGATACACTTCAAGCTCGAGTGTTTCTAATACAAAAAGTGATGCGTTTCACCCATGCCCGATTACAAGAAATTAGACCGAACCAAACAAAATTTTTTCTCGGCTACGGTTTATTATCACATTCTCTTTTGAGTGATTCGCAGGGGCTGTTTTACGATTATCCAGAAACGCTATTCTTGTCGTGGTCTAAATTTTATCATTCTTTAACGTCGTTTGAGACTCGAAATTGAAGAGAGGATAACCTACAACGTTAGTATTTCTGCAAACTGCACGAATTCAATTATTTTGTTTTTCGCGCGGTATATATCGACATATTACGTTTGGATTACCCTTCGCGTTCTTGCGGTATCCACACATTATATGGTTTATCGCTTTAGCCGTTGTTTTTTTTCTCGGTCATATATAACACGTACGCACGGACAGATATCCACTGCAGAAATCATTATTTCTACTAATTCTATCATTTTTCACCGGCTGTAGGTTTATTGATATAACAGTACTTAAATGTAATGTAAAGCGCTCCGGGCCACCACACCTTAACGTCAGGGCTAGAATTAAGTTTGGCCGTTGTAAAATATGCGACGCCAGTATAGAAAAATTCAGCACATGGAAAGACGATTGACGGAGCAATCAATGAAACCGCGCGCATAGTCTCAGAATGATTGAAGCCAATATCCATAGAAAAAATATATCGCATCATTGAAATAGTTACTCCAAAATACGAAAGTATCCGCGGAAATTGAAAAAATCAAACAAAGAAATGACCCTGGACTAGGGATTGGCAAAAAACATCGATGTTTTAGGTCGATATATTTTAACCGATCATTTGTTTTTGATAAATCGATTAAACATCGATTTTTATATTCAAAATGTTTGAATTTTTTTTTTTGTTTATATTATTTTAGTATGTAGTATACAACAACCGTTATGTAGTATAAACTTTATATTTATAACTAGGGCTCGTAAGTTCACGCATAAATAAGCATGCGATAATACACTAACATTTTATCAAATAAATATTAAAAATGCTTAACTATGCACGAAGAAAAAATGCATAAACATTTTTTTAAATAATCAGAACTTTGGATTTAAATAATCCATTCATATTTTTAAGAGTTTAATTGTTCTTCAGTTACATTTCATTAAAATTATAATTAATGAACACACGTTGCGATGAAAATAAATTGAAATGGACTCGTCAATAGGAGGAGAGTGGTAGTTGTGCGAAATAACATTGTTTCCATGGTACTGCTTTTAACTTATAAATCTTAATGTCATAAAAAAATAAAAACATTGATAAAATACTAAGATTTTATAAAAGAGTTCGGAAAAGTAAATAAGAATGAATTCAAATATTTATTGATCTAATTTTTTTTTTTGAGTTCCACGAAAAATGAATACGCTGAATTTACATAAAATACTAGAAATATACGCTAATAATTTAAAAAGAAAATCAACTATATGCAAATTATTCCAATACACACAAATTTGCAAAAACATGCTCTATTATACTTTAGATTTTTATTACCATTGTTATGAAACGGATTTTTATCTCAACTAACATATTTTCCCATGTAGCTAAGAAAACATGCAAATATATGAACTTACGAGCTCTGATTGTAATTTAATATCGATGTACAGATACATCAAATATCGATATTCAAACAATTTTGCCCATCCCTACCCTAGACGCCTATTATCCGGACACCAAAATCCAGGCTTAAGTCACGAAAAAGTTTTATGATGACACTGGACGGGCTCGAGAAACCACCAGTAGCCCGGCGGATAGAGCTGTGAAGATGCAGATATCTGAATCTGTAACGGAGTTGAAATAGAAAGGATTCACCAGAAAGGATTTAATTGCCCTTCCTTCAATGGAGATCCCTGTACTAACTAAGAACAGGTGTCTTGAGATTCGGATTAAACATAAAGCTAAGGGTTTTAGTGACGATGAAAAGTGTAGGTGTAGGCATGGTACAAAATCCCGACACCTCATTACATGTACAGATATGAAAATAATATACTTGGTGGAAGACCTTATTTCAGCCAATGAAAAGGCATCTCTCGTTGCTGACTTTTGAAAGTCGAACATTTAATGTACTTATGCGAGAGACTGCACGAGAAGCCGGCGGACGAATGTACGTATGTATGAGTGCGCACAGACGGCGGCCAACACGCAACCTGTCGTGTGTGATTACTTAGGTCAAAAACTAATACGTCGATAACCCTGTAGGAGGGGGAGAATGAACTGTGTATTTAGGTGGTTCAAATATTATAATTTAAATCCAAATGATGCGTATGAGGTGACCAACAACAACAATATTTTGTGGTATAAATGTACAAAACGATTGTAACATTCTGCAATGGAATGGCTTATAGACTAGGGTTAGTATAAATAGGCGCGCGATCACATATGATCGACAAAATCAATATAGAATAATAACAATGTAGATACAAAAGATGATACACCGGGGTAATGTTTACAAAATAATTAACATAAAGTAATGTGCGACCTGATGCGAGTTGTAAGATGATATAACACGTCGATGGTGCTGCAATCAACCCGGAGCGACGATGGAACGGCTGCTGGTATTGATCGGGCCCGTGACACTTACACTGCCGTCGAATGTGACGATTTGATCGACGTACGCAAGTTCAATAGCCGACGATGGATAGAAGTGATTCAAAACTGGACGACGCAGTCGCGGGGTGATACTTACGGTTGTAAGGTCTCACGCCGAAAAATACGTCACGCGTGTACGTCCGTTATCGCGTCGTAGAACGCGGCTCGAACGATAAAAAATCATTGCGCTGCGGTTCGCAATCGGCCGGGCGACAAAACGTTAAATTTAATTATGGCGTATCGGTACACAGGCGATCGGCGAAAACGGACACACGCGGACGACATGGGTGACCACGGATCGGGGTTGCACTGCGAAAATCGGACGGACGCACAAGTGGCTCGTTGATTCGCGGACACAAGGACGCTATGGCTCGATTGCACGGAACGAAACCAAAATCGTATTGACGGCACCGGTTCGCGACGGTAAAAGCATGCGGCTGATAACACCGGAAATTGCCAAGACAAGTGAGTCAAACGACGAAAAAATATGGCGGCGGATACCGAAAGCTCGACCGTGACGAGACCGTCCCCTACTCCGTGGGTACGAAGGTCGACTTTGCGAGGCATCGGTGATGCGCTCCAGGATGACAAACGTTGCGACACGGAACGTGATGGTCACGTCGCGCGCAATTTAAATAGTTGATTTTGTATTCAACAATACTGATCCCGGGGACATGGAAGAAGAAAAAAAAAACCACACCTGCAGCGTACCTGTCAACGTATATTTCACAGCGGCGGGTATACAGCGGTTATTACCACGGAAAAGATTTTTTGTCCATCCGTGTCCGTCCGTTTAATTCTACGTATTCATTACGGTCCATCAGCTTAGAACGATATCGGTGAAATCTTTTGTTTTCCCTTAAGCGGATAGTCTGTATTTGTCTCTATAGTTCTCACTCACGGATGCATTTGCATTAACAGCATCGCGATTCAAGTAGAATAAAGGCTTTCTAGTTCGATATCAACAATAGCTTATGCGGCGGAATAAATAATCAAACGCAGTGTGATAAGTAACATTTTTGAAAAATCATTTCTAAAAAAAAATTTGGCTAGATTAGGAAAAACCGAAATTATGTCGTAGTGAAAAGATACTACAGAGGCGACCACTTCTGATATCTAGTAGAATTTGTGTAAGTTCTTAAGTAGTGATTATACTAAACACGTAAGCTTATACACTTGATTCGTTATTATTTTACTTAAGCATTTCAATCGATTCCCAATAATAGAGTGAGTTTAAGGGTTATACAAAACGCTAATCACATTTCTAAATCGAACAACGATTATAATAATTTTTATAATATTATGTATATATATATATATATATAAATATACCATTTTTAATTTAAATAAAAACCTACAGCACTATACTCTACTCAGTACGATTTTTAATCGATGCATTTTAGGATTATGATGCTCAACATTTCTTCTCATACTATCGGAATTCAGTGGTTATCGTAGTATAGTGAACACTCGTATACATATCATTGGTATTTAAATATCGGATTTCCGACGGATATATATATATATATATTAAAATTTTCGGTATTTGGTAATGAATAAGTTGTTTTTGTTTATTTCAATAAATGTTAAAGTACTTGCATTAATTGCAAATTTTCAATATTTTAAACAATATAAGAGCAAAAGTATTATCGACTCAAATAACTTAAACGTAAGACTTAATACATTTCATTGGAACACATATATACACGTATATAGAAAGATCAAACTTGACACCTTGATTTTTAATAGATTTTATTTTATAGTGCAAGTAATCACTTTGCGTTTGACTTATTGTCATGTGAGTAGCTAAAATGACATGTAGGCACAAACAATGTATCTAAAATTAATTCATACCTTCACTGCACGATATCTGTCGTATTTGAAATCAGTCATAAAATTAAAACATTTTGATGTGATAGTTAATTCCATATAGGTTGTGTATAAAATCTATATTTTAAGTGAATAGAGTTCACACACGTATTGATTGTCTATTTAATATGCAAATAGCACAGCCATTTGAACATAACATCTAACTCAAATACTGCTGTCAATATATAATCACCGTCAAAGAGACCAAGAGAAGCCATAACGTCTATAAGACCCCATGTTAAATAAGAAACACAATAACCACAGTGATATTTACATTAATATCTAATAATAATTACTCGAAATTGAACACTGAACAAGATGAATCGCAACAAAATAAATTAGAATATAATAACAATAATAATCACCCAATCGCTGGTGGTTGATAAATATATCTTTCTTTTTTTTTCTTTAGAATCATTATTGTTATCTGTATTAATATAATTTGTATTAATTTAAGTAATTTTTTCAGAAATTCCTAGGCCATCTCAGAACCCGAAAAGTACGTTGGAATTACTGAACAGAGCCACGCATAACGGTAAACCAATTGTTATTTTGTACATCTACATTATCCTCATATTAATTATAAATGATTATTTTTACTTTTTTTTTATATTTTATTTTTTTATTTTGGCATGTTTTTTGTTTTCTACGATATTCTCATATTTTAAGATCGTTTTTGTAAAACCAAATTAAAGCGTTACGTGAAATTGACTCTACTCAAAATATTGTTTAAGTTTAACACAAGAACGCGACGATACGCATTTAACACATTTTAGCACTACTGCCGGAGTGGGTTGATGAACGTGCAAAGTACCCTCATCAACGCGTTAAGTATATCCGGCTTGTCGACTCGAAAAGCTACTGGTGTACTAGGTGTATTGTAAATTATATTTTATAGATCAATGTCGTCCTAAATACTTTCTAAATACTTTTAACTTTCAATTAAAATCAACAGCGAAACTTTTAACGATACAGATTTGATTAATGAACACACACATTTAATACACGTACAATGGGTATTAACGCGGTGCGTGTACACAAGAAGTCCCGCAGGGATTTAAAATGAATACGGACCCCCATCGCAGTTTCAAATTAGCAAAATTTCACGAGGCTGTGTAAGACATCGCGACACACTGTTCCGTAATAGACTCTCATTTCTGGGTTGCCAGTCATTGTTTTTGTTCTCTTTTTTATCTTTAAAATAAAATACGTCACTTATATGTTTTCGAGATCAGTATGCGAATGCTATACTTTTTTTCGTTGATAACGGGTGATAAACACAACATACAATTCGACGTTTCTATGTTCACCACTACAGTTTAATCATTAATAATAACTGAGTATAAAATGTAGAATATCTCTCAGATTATGTCATAACATTTTTGTTAGATGTGTTCAAATGAACACGTTAACATATAGTAGTGTAGGATTAGTTTACTTCCCAGTACAAGGGACCGCATTAAAATGTTGCAACTTATTTTTTATGCGATATATTACAAAATCGGTATCTCAGGAACATTCTCATGTCTAAATGTGATAATCGGTTTTTGATATTTCATATAATCCAATTTAGAATGTCCGTATTGGAATTTTGCTATACTGCACGGTTAGATGGACGGAAGCAGTACTACGGTTATATAGTACGTTCTCTTGAGTAAAACTATTAAAATTTTCACCAGAATAATCATATACGCATCAAGAGACTCGTTTGAAATGTAAGCAGTCTTCGTAGACTCTACTTATGTAAGTAATAAACATACCAACCTAAAAGTTAAAGTTATACTACATATAAAACCCTACTGCTTGGACCATTATAGACTTATGATTTCCAATTATAATAGGATGGAATTTCTAAAACAAACAAAATTCAACAATTTCAAAATATCGATCTCGAGAAAATAACAAATGCTATTTTATTTATATATCTTACCCTATTCGTTGGAAACATGTCTATAGAAGACTATGTAAAGGCTATGGTTTTACAATATAACAATTCAACCATCACGATCCACTAACAAAGAAACTTTGCTCTGCACCCAAAAAGATCCATCACCGTTTAAAAGCAACCGATTAGCTATTGCACTTGTTGTGTACATGTTAAAATAAAAAATCGACCGTTTCTAACAGTTATAGTTGTATGCAAGACCCGTATTATATACATCGCTAATGAAGTAAACGTGCGTCCACATCTGCACATCATTATTCTAATATCATATTTTCTGTATCAAATGTAAAATTACAGGCTGGTAGGTATTACATTTGTGGAGAGCAAAAAAATGAAAATAAAATAATATTTTCACGTGGTTGAAAACATATTTGTAATAATAATCGTCTTTGCAATAATCTCCGATAACTGCAGGAACGTAATGCTTGCCACTTTGAGCAGTCGAAAGAATATTGCTATCGTCACCAAAAGTGGAGGGCCGGATATTGATTAGATCGTACGGTATAGGATCGAATTAGTTATAGGTATCGGAATACAGAGAGAGAGAGAGAGAGATAGAGAGAGAGAAAGAGGGGGGAGGGTGGAGAGAGAGAGAGAGAGAGAGAGAGATAGAGAGATAAAAAGAGAGAGTGACGCGCACGAGGTTAGAGAGAAAAGTGCGAGCGTGCAGCGTGGTGATGACGTAAAAGCATTTGCTCCAAATCATCCATTATATCATGACGGTTAAGAGACATAATAGAGTTATTATATAGTGTACCAACCACGAACAAGGATTATACATACATGTATTGGATTAAAGTGATTAAATATTACACCGATAAACTCGTGTTTCATTAATAAACCGATTGATTAGAAGTTTCTCGGGCGCGACGATTTTTGATACACGTTCGTCTTCTTATTACCGTACAAGTATTCACGCTGCCATGATACCGTATTCCAAGTGTGGACCACGCCGTGAATCCATAAGCGCAATTTAAATTTTTTACCAGAGGGGTGCTTGAAAAATGTATACCAAATATACCCGTGAGAGGCTTTGTCCGCACACCATCTTAATCAACCTTACTTTCATCAACATACAAAATATAACATTTTGAAATATAATGTGCTGGATTTTTGAGGTGCTAAGCCCCTTAAAACCTCCTGATTTGCGCATATACGTGAATTTCCAAGTGGCGGAGGGACTCAAAATCTCGTGTTTCTCTTTATTGTAAAATAATCATAATTAAACAAAATTCATCTGAAATTCAATTAATAAATCAAATATGTGAAATAACAATAAATAAACATCATTTTTGTTTATATTGTAGAATTCTCATGCGAAAAATGTAAAACGTTACATAGAAAAACTTGTGACAAGCCTATTATTGATATCACATATCGATTCACATTAAAAATTTGCAAAAAATCTCTTACAAGCATTAATTTTTAAATTGGAAATAATATTCTAAAGATAATTAGATAAAACCCAGGTTTTGAAGATTGAAAACAAATCTCAAAAGATTCTTCATTTGGCCACTCCAGATAGTACGCATATATTATTTTCCTTAACCATTTCAGAAACACTCTGTCTATTAACCATTTTATATTTGCTTGTACAATATTAAAATGTCTTACAAATAATGTTTTTAACATTTACAGTTTAGATTTCATAAACTCCTGGTCACTGAGACTGTGATGCAACTATTAATTTTGAAGAGAGGGGATGATCATAGACGATCATGATCATAGAGATTAAATAAACTATTTTTATTATAATGATACTGTACTTATATGCGGAGTATCAAAGGTGGGAAGTCCAAATTGAGGACACTCCGGTCCAAGTCATCTTTCCGTTTTTTTAACTACCGTACTGCTGTGTCTGCTATCATATATTTTGGCCTTTCTTTGTCCCGCTATGAAAACAATTTCTGGCGCCGTCACTGACCAGATCACATATCAACGTGAACCTTTTGCACTACCATTCGCATCGTCTATTGCCATAAACCACGTAATCACGCCCGTGCAATTTTCAGATGAGATTTTGCAATTCGTGGTTATATCTTAAACGTTACGTGATATCACTTGTCGCACACACTTTTCGAGTTGCATATGACGCAAATTATCGATCGCAGCAGCTAATGTGATTGTAATATTATTTAACTCGAGGCGATGCGGTACGCGTTTCGCTTCAAGCAATATCAATATATAATTACTTTGTTTTTCGTAGAAGAACCGCGCTGTACATTCCCGTTGATACACGCACAATACCCCGGGCTATGCCGATCGTTCAGTCTTCGAATACACAGCTCTCGTAAACACTTCTCGTTCGAACTTCGTAGTGAATATTATACTATTGCTAGTTCATATTTTCAATACGTATAATTTCGTTGCAGAATAAGGTTACCATAAAATGCAAATACGCGCATATGTGCATAGTACATCATACTCTGCCACAATATTATTAATATTCGCTGCCCGCGCATACCTAGCTAAAATGTATAGTTACTGCTAGCCTAACTAACTATCTTCACCAACATGTAGATTATAAAATCATTATTATAATATATTATAAATCATGTATAACACATTTTTACTTTTTGAGTTATAAATAAGATATTCCGAATGAAAAAAAAAATAACTATTATCTGATGATTTAATACTTACAGAACATAGCAAATTTTTACATAAATGTATAAGAATATTTTACTTACGGTATTCGCAAACTCCTTAAATACTTATATACTGAAAAACAAAAATAAAACGTTACCGCCGTTGGTAGTAAAAAAATTGTAAAAGTGTAAACTATACAAACTATAAATATTTTTGCCAAAAAATATTTATAGTTTGTTTATATTATATTTTATTATTATTATTATTATATTTATATTATATTTATATTATATTTATAGTTTTTGTCAAAAATGCATTAGAAAGCGCGGTTTATTCTTTATGAACAACCGTCGTTATCTATAATTCGTATGACTATTTTGATTACTAATGCCCAAATAATTAAATAATTTAACAATTTTTGGATTCTAAAAATACTTTAAATTGATTATATTACATTGATAAAAAACAAAGATATACTTAAATTATATGGTTGATGCTAGTCATCTGAATATACCTAATGAATAAAAATAATAATAATAAAAACACTTACATTTTTGGGTTTGTTGTACCAATTTAACACAAGAGAATGGCTTATTTTTTTACAATTCGAACGTTTTATTAGATGCGTTTTATTCGCCATTTTTTAATAAAAGAAAAGGAACTTATATAAATACTTCACGTTAAAAAAAACACCGAACGAAAATGGTCAACACGATACAAGCGCGGTACACAGTCACACAAACCGAATAATAAAAAAATTCAAATGATAATTTATAATTTGGTCTTCCAAATTCCAATTCAAAATACTTCATGAAGTCAATATAAATAGATAGTAAATTTGTAAATCATTATTTATAAATAGGTAGTGTATAGAAAATTCAAATTAATATGCTGAAACGGGTACTTCTGCGGTTTAGCCAATCTTTTTCTTGTTATTTTACCACTACACTGTTTCGACCGACTCAAACATAAAAGTTTTTGATCGCCAATATTATAGTTGT